CTGAGTGAGGATTCGAGGACTCAGCCCCAAGGCCAGCTTGGGGGGGCGGGAAGCACTCTGAGGCAAGAGTCTGAGAACTGGGGTCTCACCACTGTGCCACCCTGAGCAAGTCCCCTCACCTCTCCGTGCTCTAGTTTCCTCATCTCCAAAACACGGGGTCGGGTTCTGCCCTCGGGTGGGTTCCATGAGGTGAAGCATTTGCCTTAATTTGCCGTGAACGTGATTTTCCGTGTAAGTTATACCACACGACTGGGAACTGCATCAACGGTGACGACTGCATGTTTTCCCACGACCCTCTGACCGAGGAGACGAGAGAGCTCTTGGATAAGGTACGGTCTGGGGGGTCGGCCGCCACAGCTGACGGCAACCAGAGCTGGGCCTTCTGTTGACTTGGCTCCGCAGCCACCCGCTGGCCTCTGCAGGACCAGAATTCCCCGTTGCATTGGTCTGGAGCGGGGCCATTTTAAGGACGACATGGGGACTGTGCTCTTGCCTCCAGGGAGAGTGGGGAGGTCACGCGTGCATCTTATCTCCAGCCGGGGCAGTTGTCGCTGGGGTGGCTGCATGAAAGGAGCGTTGCCTGGTGTGTCTCCAAACATACCTTGTGATTTCTTACTTGTCCTTTAGAGAGAGTCATGGTACACAGCGAGGAGAGGAGACTTGGGATGGTTTATATTTTTATGGAAATGTCAAATGTTTACTTACAATTTTTAAGGATTCTATTAAGCAGTAAAAAAACACACAAATAAACAGGGAAATCAGAGGTTCAGGCTTGTTGGAGACTTCTTCCCTCAGGTGAGGTGTCAGGGCTTTTTGAATCGTCAGGTGACATTTGAAACTCATCCTAGCATCGTCTTGTCCCTGAGGCGTCGTTAGGACGTGGGGAGTCCCAAGGCCCTGTCCTTGGTTTCCTGATGCATCCGAGGGATGAGCAGGAGAACGTAGCCTTTGAAATGAAGGCTCTCCTGCCTTCTGGTTCTCAGATGGTTTGAGGAGTTGGCTGTTTGTTTTAAGAATGGCAAGGGTCGTGCTCATCAGGCATCCTCGGATGGCTGCCCAGTTTAAATGGCTGCTGGCACCCTGAGGAGTTGAGGGGAAGCCGGGCACAGGCAAAGCAAGAGAACACCGCTCCTCGTTGGCAGAGGCGTGGGAAAAGTTGGGAAAGGTCTTATTTGGCCTTGCCCTTTGTGGAGCCTGACAACCTAGGACTAGGGCTTTGTCATCTAGATCTAGAGTCTGTGAGTTTTTCACAGGGAAAGTAGTGGGAAGTCATGGTGACTTCATTCCTCATTTGAACAATATCTGACTGAGGACTGCCCCCTGCTGGAGGTTCAGAGTTTGTGTTCTAGACCAGTGCTCTCCAATAGGAAACATGTCCGAGCCACATGTTTAATTTTTCCTTTTTTAATTATCTACCTACTAGTTCTGCAGCAGTTTTAGTATGAAGGTGTTACTGATAATTGTACAATTTATATGATGTGGGCAGAGAAATATAAAGAATGACTAAAATTGGCCAGCCTTGTAAATCACAGGCTACACATTCTCCACTGGTTTTTAGAGAGATTAGAAGGGAGGGAGGGACAGCGGGGGGTGGGATGGGCAGAGAAACAGTAATGTGGGAGAGACATGACCCCACACATGCCCCGATCAGGGCCAGGACCGAACTCTACAACCCAGGTACATGCCCCTGACCCAGAGTCGAACCCTCAACCCTTTGGTGCGAGGACTGACGCTCTAACCAGAGAGCAGGGTCAGACCACACATACTTAATTTTAAATTTTCTAGTAGCCATATTAGAAAAGTAAAAAACAGATGAGTTTAACTTTTACAACATATCTTAGCTTAGTGTATCCATGTTCAAAATAACCATTTTGGCAAGTAATAAGTGATGGGAAAAAGTAAGATTTTGGGGAGACTACAGTGTCTTCAGAATCTGGTACTTATGGCCACATTTCAAGTACTCAATAGTCACACCAGGCCAGTGACCACCATATTGGACAGCAAAGCTCTAGATGCCCTCATAAAAACCCAAGAAAACAAGGTGTCCCATTTGAGCTCCCACAAACATTTTGAAAGCATTGATAACGTCCCCTGTATAAGGCCAAGTCTCAGTGGGTTAAAAATGAGTGTAGAACCTAGAAAAACCGTTCTAGAATTGAATTTGTGTGGTCAGGAAGTAAAACGCGCAACATGCCTTAGGATGAGCCTAGCCCATGATGGCGAACCTTTTGAGCTCGGCGTGCCAGCATTTTGAAAAACCCTAACTTAACTCTGGTGCCGTGTCACATATAGAAATTTTTTGATATTTGCAACCACAGTAAAACAAAGACTTATATTTTTTATATTTATTTTATATATTTAAATGCCATTTAACAAAGAAAAATGAACCAAAAAAATGAGTTTGCGTGTCACCTCTGACACGCGTGTCATAGGTTCACCATCATTGGCCTAGACCGACCCTGCCGAAGGCGTGGGGTCAGCCATCTCCCTCCTGCCCAGACGGAGCTGCAGCTGGTCCACCAGGGCTGGGCCTGGGGTTCGAGCTGTGATGCCTCTCAT